GTACATTTAGATATATTTGCTTCGTTTAGAATTACGTTACAACTATAATTTTGTTATTTTTTTGTATGTATGCGTACATACGTATTATATGTATACATCCATACATACATATCTATAAATAAATATATATGTATAAATAAATATAAATAAAATTATATATGTAATATAAATAAATATATATATAAATAAATAAATATATAATAAATAAATGTATATGTGTGTACATAAATGCATACATACATACATAAATATATAGGTTTGTATATAATTCTTGTAATTGGCCGAGTATAGTTTTTTCTAGGTTGAAATAGAAAAAATGATAGAGGAAAATCTTATTTGATATAATCTTTACTATTTAAGTATTTAACCCTCAGCTGGGGAGCACTATTTGTATTTTCCGATTTTGGAGCACTGGGTGTGCGACACCCTCAACCATGTACATCACGTATATCTTTGTATGTAATGCATAGAATTTGAACTTTTTTTTTAATCGATACGTCAAATTGTTCAAAAGAAGAATAAATGGGTGCGAAAATCGAAAAATTGAAAATATTCAGGAGAAAAGGAAAAGAAAATCTTTTAATTTCAGTTTTTTGGAAATTCGTAGTTTCAAGGGAAAAACCGTTAAAGAAATTTCTCTTGCGGGTTTTTAAAGGTAATTGAACGTAGGTACTTTAAGAAAAAAATATTATAATTTCGATTATTTTTAAAAAGTATATTTTGCTCTGGATGTAGTACATCCATAGGCTGACAAATTGCGACTTTGGAAAATTTCCTGTTGACCTTCGGATATTACTGTGGTGGGAAACTAGTGGGGGTATGTAACTTTCTTTAGTCCCTACTCGATTCCCCCCTATCCTTACGGCTTGTGAATGCCGCTATTATACATATACAGCCTGGGTGTACTACACCCAAAGCTCCAGCTGAGGGTTAATATAATTTGCTATTCTGCGATTGCATTTTTTTCGAACAATGCATTTTGCAAAATGCAACTTTACTTTTTTAAAATGAAATTGTATATTGGAACATTTTTTTAGCGTAATTTGATTCCTTTTATTATTCAATTTGATTCTTTTTATTATTCAAATAAACATTAAAATGATTATATTATAGTAATCGAATCTTTTTAACAATTTTTTTCTATAAATATCTAAAAAATGATTTATATATTGTGGAAGTTATTTTTTTAATTAACGATTAAGCGAGAGAAAAATATAATTTTAATTACTGGTTACTTCATGAATATGATAATAAATAATCTGCGAAAGGAGAATTAAAAAGTGTATTATAGAAAGCAAAAATTTAGAAATAAATTAAAAACGAAAGGAAATAGAGGCCAATAAAATGAGTAAACATAAAAGATATTAGAATATTATCATATTATTTAATGTGACAATATTAAAGCGGAATGTTTCGACTTGACTGATTATAAATTAGCTTTAGACATACATTTCAATTTTAATAAATATGTATCTTACATTTAATGTAAACGTAAGATATTAATAAATTAATATTTTACTTTAATCGGAAAATACGTAACATTTTGAATAAGGCTATAAATGCAAATATCAATAGATATATTATATAAATTAAACCGGAACTTATATAATATTTTTATTATTAAACTAAAACTTGTCTTATGTAAATATGGTTTTAAAAAGTCTATGAAGATTCGATAGTTTAAAAATTGTACTATGTCGATTTTGTAAATTCTGATTCCATAATTTTCGTCTGCTTGTACGAGAATTCATAGCATTTAATATTTGAAATAAGATTATTGTCTGAAGTCGTCATTAAGTTTTTTTTTTAAATAATTACCTTTGGCAATTAATTTAATTATATCGATAGTCAGAAACAATTTAGAGCTATAAATTTCAACATAAAGAGATCTTCTCTGATCAACATTTTTATCTAGGTAATAACAAATAATCTTTATTATGTGAAATAATAATGAATCTAGTAAAATTTGGAATTGTACAATTATTTGTAACAGCTTTGTTAAACATTGCAAATTCGATATCCAATTCAATATTCAGTGCGTATTCTTGTTGCGTCATTTTGTAAATTTGCGTGTAAATTTATAATAGATGATTAACAATAAATTAATAAAAAAATATAATATTTTATAGTAACAAAATAAACTGTATTCTAACAATTGAGATCTTAAAACGCCAACAACGGTACAAAGCGGATCTTGGTGCTTCCATATAATAGGTATTAGTGTAAATCTTATAATTTTCGGTTCATATAACACCACGTGCCCGCAAATCACGTACATCTCCGAACCAAGTAGTATGTAATATTACAATTAAATTGCCACAGGCAATTTAATAAATCGATGCTTAAAGCATCAAGTCCTTGCCCTCTCAACTTCGCGACATCTAATAAATGCTAACTTGCATCTATACGAATCTGTAAAGAATTTATTGCGAAAAAATATCCCCTCATTTTCTCATGAACCGAAAATTGTAAGATGTAGATTTACACTAATATTATATGGAAGCACCAAGATCCGCTTTGTATCGTTGTTGGCATTTTAAGATCTCAATTGTTAGTTAACATTACACGGTCTTTCCTGATACTCATTTAAACTGTATTCATTATTTTATACATTGATAATCTAAATATTATTTGTATTTTAAAGCATATATTATCAACATAATTTGTTTTATCATATTTTATTTCAATTTTTATTAATAGTGGTGTAAAACGGTGTAAATAATTAACATTTATAGTAATCAATACTATGTATCTCTCTTTAGTCGTGTAGCGTAATAATAAATCAAGTCTCGTAATATATTTGAAGCATACCTCTTCCTCTCCCTTCTGTTTCTTCTCTTTCCTTTCTGTCTCTTCCATCTTCTCTTCTTCCTCCTTTCCTCTTTCCTCCCCTTTTTCTCTACCTTTTTTCCCTTTACTTCCTCTCTCCTTTTCCTCTTACTCTCTTGCTTAATCTCTCACTTTCTCACTTCCTCGCTCTCTTATTTTCTCACTCTTTTTCTTCCTATTTCCCCTCCCCCTCTTCTTTCCTCTCCTTCCTTCCCTTCCTCCCACTTGCTCTCCCCTCTTTCTCTCTCTCTATATCTCCCTCTTTTTTCGATTAAACGACACAACTAATGCTCTAATATGAATGATAATTCATAATTTGAATATCTAAAAAAGATCACATTATAATGTAGATTCATAGCGTAGAGAAAAAAAATTAACAGAATTTGAATAAACTGCATACTTAACACATTCCATAGGGATTGATGCTGGATTTTGTTAAGTAATTTTGGTTATAAAAAGAAATGTAATTAAAATTATAAAATAATTTCTGATATGCGTGTTAATACATATCTAATTATGGTATACAATGCAATATTGATACATTAGGTCATTTTATTTAAATATAGTAAAAACATGAACAAAAATACCGTGGATCATCTGTGATCCACATAGCACAGTGAACAAGTCACGTAAAACCGGCGCAGAACATACTAACGGAATTTCTACATTGATTATCGTTTTGTTTCGATATATTTTCATTAAGTTGCGCATATTTTTTAAGAGACCGCAATCACATGACACACGCACAGCGTTGAATTCCTCGAGGAACGAAGGTAGCTATGTCCATTGCATTGTTCCCGTTCCGTGGCCACTGTATTCGGTGGAACGCGGTAACATCCTGCTAACGTCTGGCCGTTACTACGAAATGTCAAACATTACCCATCGGCATAACTCACTTGCAACTATCTTGATTACGGATGTATGCTTTTCTGAAATTCCATCGTGCATTCTGATCATCGCGTCGATGCCGCAGTCGATCGTTTCGATAAATATAATAACATCGAGTCAATATTAAAGTAAGCATTCAAATAATATAATCAATGCTTGCCTATTCTTAACAATCCTATTTTTTATATTTCACTGTTTTTAAACTCGAAATTTTTATGTTTTTAGCATTTCCCCCTGCGTTGTTTTATCGTTACTTCACATTTGTCACGTGTCCAGGAACAAGCTGGTATTATTTGTCATTTTAACGTCAAAATGTTACCAAAAAAGTCATTTTGAAATCAAAGGTCCGTTTTCAGATGCACTTTTATCTTTAAAATTCTATAGTATACATAACGTAACATAAACTACAGCGGTTAGTGCTGTAACATTATTGTTAGCGCGTTCTGAATACGGATCAAAATATTGCCAAGATGTCATTTTGACGTCAAAATAACAAATAACGTCAGCTTGTTTCCTGGACTACTGCTTAGAAAATAAATGAAAAACAGAGAGTATTTTCCACACACACACACACACACACACACACACACGCGCGCGCGCGCGCGCGCGGTGAGTCATTTTAAGTGACACATTTATTTTTCTCGAAAATCAAAACTTGTATCGAAAAAGATTTTGTACAAAAGTTTTATGACTTCATGACGGACATAAGATGATGCCATTGATTTAACCTTGAGTATATGTACTAAGATCATATGAAAGTCAACTTTTTTTTTCTTTTTTTTTTCGATAAGGGTTTCCATTTAAAAAACAAAGTTGACCTCCATATGATCTTAGTACATATATCTAAAATTAAATTAATGGCACCGTCTTAGATAGGCTCCCCCTTGAAGTTATAAAATTTTTGTACGAAAATTTTTTGATACAAGCCTTGGTTTTCGAGAAAATCAATGCGTTATTTAAAATGACTCATAGGTATATAATAGATATTGATCTCACTTATCAATAATGCAATGATATATTTATTCAATATACACATGCCATTAGAATATTAGAGTATAAGAAAAAGAATTAAGAATAAGGAGTTAATTAAATTAATATTAAGATTTTAATTATGCTCACAATATTTTTTCTTTAATGTATTTGATACTAAATTCACATATCTATTGTTATTTCTGCATAATATTAAGTACAAAACTTAATATTTGTTAATAGTATTAATATTATAATATTTAAGTTATCTTTTGCTCAAGTTACTCAAGAAACTCTATTTCTGTTTATTACAGAGAAACGACAATCTCGACTTGTCTTTGAACGTTCCACAACATCATCAAGCATCATACCATCACGACAGCTACAATATGTCGGACCAGGTGAGTGAATTATGAGCAATAATTTATTGACAGCTGCCATATGGCAATTTTATTTATAGCAAAGTAGTTCACAGATTATTTTTATTTATCTGCATATTTGTGATTAATTATAAATCTATATATTTTTAATTACATTGGCTATTTTTGCGTTATTTGTTTATATTATATAGGTGTACGTGCGCGTGTACATACATGTGTATGTATGTGTAGAGTACATTTATATTGACATATCAATTAATTATACATAAAAAATGAAAATTGAAACATTATGGATTGTGTCTTATGTAAGTCAAAGAATTTTGTCTGAAACAACAATGAAAAATAGAAAAGAAAAAAATATAGAAAACAGGACATAAAGCGATCAATTGACGAATAGCTGGAATTTGATAGTAAATATAGAATTTAATAATCTATTTTATTGAAATGAAATGGATGATTATTCCGCATTATTTCAATTAATATTCTTCAATCGTGTTTCAATTTTAGCAATTAAATTTACGATCTTGTCTGACTACTTTTACCTCGACATTAAACGATTTAATTTAAAGAAGATTAGAATTTCTTTAATCTTTTAATTTTTTTATTGATTTATATGTTCTAATTTTTTTCATTTTAAACTAGCTTGATTGGACAACATGATAGATTCAATAATAGTTTGTTATACTGATTTAAAATTTTCTATTTTTAAAGCACATTTTTTTTACATTGTATTAAAATATTTAGTTCTCTCTATAAATATTTGTATCGTAGGAAGAACATTTGAAAAATAAGATCTAGAATGATTCAAATATCCAATGAATACAGTTATGTTCCAACTAAATATAGGATGCGTTTAATCGATCGCCACTCGCTCGATTCAATTTAAGCGTTCACCAATTGTCAATCTGCGATAAATAACCATCGGTTATAATTTGTTTAACGCGCAAATATTGCATATTTCGATTTTGTGCCAATAGTAAATCTGTTGATAAGAATCTTAATTCGTAAGACAATTAATAACAAGAATTGATAATAAAGACAAAAATTAATAACTAAAAAATTGATACTAAACACAAATTGCTTACATTACAAACATTATTTAATTTTGTTTGCAAACATTTATTTTAATTAGAGAAATTTTGCACATTATATGTACTTAAATTTTGTCTCATTACACTGTGTTATAGCAAAATTCTCTCCAAAGTGCGATCATACGCACCGAAGATTTTTTCGCGTTGAACACGATGCCGTTTGAAGAATTCGCCTAGCACGTCAGGATTTTGAGTAAATTGGAATGAAAGTGGCCAAAAATGGTGTTTTTAATATTTTTTGCGGCAAAATGGAAACTGATTTCCAAATGGCAAAAACCCAATGGCATCAGAAAGTATCATTCAAGAGCTTTCAAAAACACTTTGATTCATGACCGTATGACTTTTTTTCATCAAGTTATGGATGTCCGAATTTTAGACTTTCTGTAACATTGACACGTCTTAAACATAGACATATTACAGGAATAAAAGTTGCTCGACAAGCTCTTTGGAATCAATAATTTTAAATTAACAATAAAATATGATAGCATATGTGCGCTAACTCTTCGTAAAACACACACACACACACACACACACACACACACACACACACACACACAAAACAGAGAGGTTTTGGAATCATTAAATATACTGAGGAAGTGATGAACCACGAGATCCTGATCTCTGTGTAAAACACACACGCTATGTATAAGTACACGGAGAGAATTTCCTTTTAAAATTTACTCTGAAAATTTTGTTAATCGTGGGACAACATAGTATTTCGACAAATTTTACTGTACACTGCAATAAATTTTACTA